ATGCATTGAGAAGATTCGTAGTGGTCACATCTGAGACCATTTCCAGGGGAAGGAGGCGAGTTGTACATGTACAGATTATTCCATAGACTTGAACTATTTCTTCGTATTCCTTCGTAGAGGATGGTCCGAAGTAGTCGATTCCCATGTGCTCGAATGATCCTGTCTTCTGAACGCATCGTTTAGGAAGTTCATCCATCTCGGGGTACTTGTATGGAAGTTTGTTCATTTCCTGGCAAGGAACACATCATCTTATGATTTGTTCGGCTAAGTGGCAAAGCTTCGGTATCCAAAAATAGTTTGTTACGTGTGCTATTGTGTGAACAATGAAGTGGTGTATGAGCATGCTGCACGATTATCCTCGCAAGTTCGCTTTTCTTGGCTACAAAAAGAGGTTGGCGTGATTCGAAAGCGTTTGCCATTCGTCCGCGACATCGAAATAGTTTCTGTCTTTTCTGTCTGTCTGTATTGAGGTTGATTTATAAGTTGATTTTTTGTTCTTGGTATTCACATCTAGGATTCCCTTCTTGTCTAAATCCAGCTTCAGTCACTTATTTTCATCATTTCAGTGAACTATTTCCATCATTTCTTCAGCAAAACCCTCACCCTCACAACCCGCCCTCAAGCCGTGGAGAGGAAAAAGCCGCGATACACATGTTTTTTTATTTGCTTATTCTATGTTTATGTTCTAGGCTTCTATGTTTATGTATTATACCTAGTCTTTGTTTCTTTTTTGTTTCTTGCGTTTGTTTTCACTAACATCTTGCAGAATACTACATCTTTCTTGAACTAAGCCTGCATGATGAGTAGGAATTTCCGGTCGGTATTATTGTCATTTACCGCTGAGTACGTACACCTAGGATCGCCGTCAGTCATAGAAGCTAGTTTGTGAGCAAGTTAGTGTTGGCGGGTCCGAAACTGAATTGTTAGGGATAGGGAATACCTAACATCCGAAAATTCAGTTTCCGATTCCATGCTTGGTTCTCATCTAGGAGTGACGTTTTCCCTAGCGTCATCCGCCACTGAAGGTATTATCACCGAGCTGATGGTTAGTTACACAAGGCAGTGATCCTCTGTCAAGAGCTGGCTCTTTCGTCGATTTTTTTTACTTTACCAGCAAAAATCCAACTCGTGAGCTTCCTACCTATCCTGGCGATTGCCTGTTCCCTCAGTTTAGCGTTAGGTACGATCGTAGTTTTTATTCGATTGGTATAACTTAAGTGTTGTTAAAGCGCACCTGTGCGTGCACAAGTAAATGAGCTGCGCATTAGTACACTCCCTTACCCTTGTGTGAGCAATTTTCAAAGTTTTGACCGTAGAGTTGTTCTTTGTTTTGTGGAACCTAGCGTTTGTTCTCTGGAACCTAGCATCTGGGGTACTACAACACAGATATTACATCTCCGTTTTACGCGCAAAAACGCGTGGCATCCATGCTACAAGCTCCCAGGTGACCGTCAGCAAATTCGGGAGTTTCGCCTGCTCATAAATCGCCGGTGATATGCTGGTAGCAAGTTTGGTGTTCCATCTATAGTGCCCAATTGCCACGCGGTATGTGTGTGGATTGTACGATGTCTACATTGAAGGTGCGGATCAAGAACAGCTTTATTTTCGAGTGTCTTGAACCGGATCGCTCCTTACGCTCAAGTTTCCAGTATTGGTAGACAAAGCTGGACTTCTTGATCGCGAAGGCTTCCGAATGGATTAAGCATACCAGCTTGCCATCCCTTCTTATACTGTATTTTATCTTATCACCTCAATGATACATCCGTTGCTTAACTGAAGAAGTTCATTTTGCCTATAACAAACAAGTTAAGTTAGCTCCTGCAACGAAACTTTAAAGGAATGAACTAATTGTAGCTGTTGCTACAATCCCCACCCTTTTATTGGAGAAACCGGTATAATCTTCCTTCAATTTTCCCCAGTTCTCTTCTAACTTCTTCAGTTGCTTTACGTAAGCTATCTTTTGAATCCGGTATTGTACCCAGTGCCCAATGGTGACCACTGTCTTTGGGATGGGGAAATTCCAGATTCCTTCACATTTCTTCTTGGGCTCGCATGTCAATAGGCAGTGTGGACATTTTCCTTCATCCATTATTAGTTTGTACCTCATGGCTCCATCAGTGAACTGCGGACATGAGTTTAAGTAGTGGCTGCTAACTTCTTGACAAAAGATGATGAAGGAGCTAATTCCAGTTTTGTCGTTCCCTATCTTTTTTTTCGGTAGCAGCCGGAGTCCTTGTTGGGTCTTGATGACCATGCTGGAGTAGCGTTTTCATCGGATTTCGTGTTCTCCGCAATGTTCTTCAAGTGTTCCTCCATACGTTTGAGGATTGTATTAACGTCGTCCTTATTGTTGAAATTATTGAAGGTGAGACCCTTCGATACGATCTTTTTCTTACTGACGAGTTGATCAGCTCTGTTGATGTCATATTCGAGATCTTCGATAATTCCTTTCAATCTTGAGATGTGTTCTTCGGTGAGGAAAATAATATGCTTTATATTGGTGTCATGTTCTGATCTGTGTCCTTGTTCATATTCTACTCGTGGTCTTGTTCTTGGTCCGTTAAAGACAGCCCCCGCGCTCAAGCAGAACATGTCCTTCCTTGTGCAAGTAGTCCAGCCCCCAAGCTAGAGACTATCCCACTCTCGCGACTCCACAGCGAGCGAGGAGCGAGCTACAGCCGCTGAAAGTTCTAGTTCTAACGCCCGCCCAGTTGGACCGCCCACTTGCTAGATGCCCTCTGGGGGGCCGCTCAGTTGTTCTTTGTTGGGGCGGCGGGCATTAATTGAATTGCATGACTTTTTCGCTGATCGCGCTCGTGCCCATAAATAATTCTGTTAGAGCGCGTTCAGACTTCGCGATCGCGCGATCGGATCGCGCGCGATCGCGCTACTGTGGGTGAAATTACTGCGGGAGGGGGTCATGTTCGTTCATGTTCAACTCAACTCAACAAACAACAACAACAAAGTTCTGGGAAGGGAGTCGTACTGATATCACCATTTCTCACATCACGATGCTGTATCCTGCCTCCAATAGGCAGTTCCAAAAACGATATAAAAGTAAGTTCGACCTTTTTTGATGTCTTTTATTCCGTGTTCATATTCGCAATACTGACGTTTGC